ACATATATAATATTTTTTCAAGAACAATTTTTCATATAAATAAATAAATATGTAAATAATGAATAATGAAAATAATTTTAAATAATAAGAATAATTAAACGAATATTTTATGTATTTTAACATATTCAGATTTCATTTCTATTCAGAGGAAATTTTTTTGTTTTTTTTGCTTTTTCTATATATTTATTTAAAAATAATTATATATAGACTTAATACATTATATACATACACATAACCTAATACATATTAAATCATTATTCTTATAATATATATATGTGTAAATAATTAATAAATTTTTATATTATAAAAAATGAATCTATTGTATTTGTTTATTGCAGAAAAAACAAAAAATAAAACTCTCTTTAGAATTATTTATTTTGACTGTTTTCTTAAAATTTACAATTATAGATTTTAAAATAAAAATGATAAAAAATATAATTTAAATTATTAATTGTTGATGTGTGTGTATATATATATATAAAATATAATTATATGTATAATTTATTGTATATATAGTGACTATTGTATTGTATATAATATAATTTGTTATGAAAAGAAAATTTCAATTATAAAAATTTTATTCTAGATTTTTTATTAATTATATTTATTTTCCATTAAGAAATTTATTTATCAAAATTTATATTATTTTGTTTTATCAATAATAATGAACTAATCTGTATATTTTTTGCTTGGTAATAAAATAAAAAAATTACTTATATAAATAATCTTATATGTATATTATATAATCTTAAGTTTTTAATTTTGAAGTAATTTTGAAAAAATAAGTACAATAATATAATATATATACATATATACATATATATATATATATATATATATATAATCTAGTTATGTTATTTTGCACTCTCATGTTCAGTGTTCTTTGAGATGCATGAGCCAAAGATATGTACTATTCTAACAATTCTCGGAACAATAAAGATGTAATTTAATCCTAATTCTACGATAGTTAATCACACAATAACTGTAATTGCTATTCATTGTAAGTATATTTCATGTTACATATTCTATAATTTATTGTCATTTGTTCATGAAATATTTAATTTGGTGAAAGCAAAATCTTTTGAAGAAAGAAAATCTAAGAAAATTTTACATGATTTTTATTATTTATATATTATTATAAAATATGAAAAAAATCTAATAAATTTTTATGTGATATTTATCTTAATAATAATCAATCATATATATTAGTTTATATTTTAGGTACATATGTAAGTACTATAATATATTTTGTTATACTATATTTCAATATTTTATAACTATTATAGATTTTTAAAATATGCTAATCAAAAAAAGATTATTCAAATTTTTAATTTAAAATTTCATTATATATAAAATTTTATGTATATATTATAAAGTTTTATTTTCGAAAAAAAATAATCAATTTTAAACAAACAGTTCTAAAGTTCAATTTAACATATACCATCATATATTAGATCGCTCAAAGTTCGATGAACGTACAATTTATTTGTACCACTTAATATTAATCAATGTTTATTGAATACTTTAAAATTATTAAAAAAAATATGTTAATTTATTATATAATTGTAAATTGTAATGAAATTATTATTATTTTATTTACTTTTAATTATTTTCATGTTTTCAAATAAAATAAAATTTGATTTAAATTATAAATATAATTGAATATATTCATAACTAATTTTTAAATTTTTATTCATGCTTCAAAATATTTTCCTAAATTTTTCTTATTTCATTAATATTTTTTTGAGTTTTTTTTTAACAATTTATACTTTTGAAATATTTTTAAAAATTGAAATATTTCAATTTTAGGATATATAGGTTATATTCTAGGTATTATTATTATAGGTTAATATTCTAATTAATTCTATTCGTGCATATAGGATGTAAAAATATAATACATCTTTAGATTAATTCTAGACATCAAGATAATAGTTAAACGAAAATAATTAAAATACATTTATTAAATTATAAATAATTTAAAGCATGTTAGAAATGTACGTATGGGCACGCAATTAATTGTATATACTACATCCATAAATAAAATACTTCACCATCATGTGTTGATGAGTGAATATTACGGAAAGGAATATTCCCTTTATTCCTATGCTGTCTCATTAATCATCTTTCTTTATAAATTTTACTTATTTGAAATGTCAAAACTTCATCGTAACTTTTTAAATAAAAACTATAAAATTAGTTATTTTTTATATTTTATTGAGATTTTTCTGTTGAAAATGATAACAAATACATGATATTTTGATTACATAGATAATTACGTAGATAATCAATTTAGATTATGTATACAATTGGGTAGACCTGAAAATAATTTAATAAATATTTTTTTTTTCTATTTTACTTTTAATTAATTCGTCTTTTATTTTAACAATAAAGATATTGAATCAAAGACAATTTAAACTTTCAATTAATAGAATAATATTATTATAAGAGTCTATCGATATTGAATTATTGATACTTATGTATTACATTTATATTTAATATTAATATCTTATTTATATTTATTATTCTATCTTCATTTTCTCTATTTTCAAAATTTTTAATTGCTACATATGATAAGCACGAGATTATCAATATTTATTATAGTTCAAGATTGTTTTGTTTATATTTCGCAAATTAAAAAATAAAAACATGACATATATATTTATTATATATTTATATGTATACATCAATTTAATTAAAAAAATTCAATCCAATAAGATTTCAGTCATTGAAATCGTTAGGTTAGGTAATAAATTTTACTACTGTATTAAATTATAATTATTTTTTAAAATTCTAAACTTAAAAAAATATATAATCAGATATATGTAAATATTCATGCAATATATGCAATATATGTTAGATATTTTTATTAAAGTTGGATTTAATAATTTATTAAAATTTGGATTAAGTGAAAATTTTATACATAAATAAAAAATTGAAAATATATAATTAAACATATTAAAATATTAATTTTATTTTTTCTATAATATAAATATATTCTTAAATTTAATTAAAAATAAAAAATATATCAAATTTATTAATATTATATAATATATAATAATAATAATATGATATATAATAAATATATATAATATTAATATATATAATAAATATATAATAATAAGAATATAAGTTAAGAAAGAATAATCGTATCTTGATATGGAATAATGAAAATGAAATACGATGAAATAATGATATCCTATATAATTAGTTTTTCTTAAGCTAACCAAGTTTACCACTGAAATGTAACACCGTTGAAGAATAAGTTCGAGTACTATAAATTATTTGCCAACTATCATAAGACAATGAATATGATAATGAACTATGTATAATAGTAAAATTTTTATATTTTTAAAAATATTCTTTCGTTTGAATAAATGTTAACAATTCTTTAATTTTAACTTTCTAAATAATTATTAGTTAATCATTTCGTAATTATGTATATTAATCATAACACAAAAATTTTTAACATTATATTAATTTTATTTAGCGATATTTGATTTGAAAAATTGAAACTACATTTATTATGCATTCAACTTACCTTTGTTAAAAATATTAAGTGATAATCCATATCACAGATAATATTAGCATTTGATATTGACATATATAGATAGAAAGATAATAAATTTAATATATAATTAAAAGGTTATGCTTATGTCAGTTTGAGAATATTAAAGCTCATTTTTAAAAATATTAAATTATTCAATTATTTTAAAATCAATTAAAATTAAATTTCTATCATAAATATGTATAAAATTATATATTCAACATTTTATAATTTTAAATATATACATATAATTAATAAAATTAAAAAAAAATAAAACAAAGAAATTCTATCAAATCTATATATAAAACTTTAATAAAACTTTTGCAGAATAAAATGGATGAATCCTCCAGCATGTACTAATGAAGCATATACACCTACCTCTGTAGAACATATAGCAAATGTAACTACTCATGGAATTTGGGTTGTACCATCTGTCATAGGTAGCTTGGAACTGGTTCGTCGTTCTATAACATGGACTCAATTAATATCAGCTTATGTATATGGTACATCTTTGATCCTTGTTTTCACAGTCTCAACATTTTTTCACAGTGTACATTACTGCAATAATAACAGGTACTTGTAATTATTCGATTGATGGAAAGTAATGTCGGTTTTATAAATGCAAAAAATAAATCAGTTTACTATAGCGTACATCCAGTTTTGAAATTTTTATTTTAAGTTTGTATAAACATTTTAAAAATATGTATAATTTATTAATAAATATTTTTTATTGAGGTTTTTTCTTTTTCATTTTATCAAAATGTAATTCTTCATTAGTACCTATTTGATCGAGATTTATCTTACGCATTTACATATGATGTACTTTGAAATTTCGATCATGAAATTTGGAAAATTATTAATTATAATTCACATTTGTTTCAAAAATATAATAAATATTTATTTAGTAATATTTTTATTAATAAACATATTAAATATTTTTTCAAAGTTAACATGATTGATTAAAAACAAACATTGTATTTACATCACACAATATAACTATAATTATTCAATCTATAAATTTTAAATTTGAACGAAAATTAAATATTTTATAAACATAAAATATAATTCTAATAAAATAAATTAATAATAAACAATTATTAAAATTTTACTATTATTATATATTTATGTAGATTTAAATAAAAATGATATGACTTTTCCATCAATCTAATATAATTTTCTAAGTTAATTTGATATAAATATTTATAACTTTATATTTATGAAGCAAAGATTAAGAATAATAAATAAAACTTTTAATAAATTATATATTACAGACAACTTAAAGAAACATTACATCGTTGTGATCGTGCTATGATTTACATTTTTATTGCTGCAAGTTACTTTCCTTGGTTCAATGTAGATCATTTCCCAGACGATGAAATATTATTTGCAATGCGTTATGCTATTTGGATTATGGCAACAGTGGGCATATTGTATCAACAAATCTTTCATGAACAATATAAAATGTTAGAAACAATCTTTTATTTAGTTATAGGAATTGGCCCTAGTATTGCAATTATTAATGTAAGTATACAATTATAAGTTAGAAGATTTTAAAAAATCATTATTATTAAAATTATTAATATGATATTATGATTCAAATATTATTTGAAATTATATATTTTAATGTTTACAGTATAGTTATTATAATATTATTGAATTAAAATTGGGTGGATTGCTCTATATTTTTGGCTTATTGTTTTTTAAATCTGATGGAAGGATACCATGTGCACATGCAATTTGGCATCTTTTTGTTGCTGTAGGAGCTGGACTTCATTATTATGCTATATTAAATCATGTCTTTCCTATAGTTTGTCCATCAGATAATTTTATGACACCAGATGTACCATCATTACCAAAATTATTAAAATCTAATATTGAAGAATTATAAAATCTTATATTTTGTTTTTCATTATATCTAAATTTTACAAATTGGAAGTTTCAATATAAAATTGATAAAATATCAAATATTAATTTGCAAATTTAAGGTAAGACTATTGAAATAAAGTTTTCCTAATTATTTATAAAATTTCAAGAAATAGAAATTATCATCATGTATGAAAAATGTACTACTTTTAGAAAGTAACTATATTATGTACCTGAAATATACATAAAAAAATGTTATTCATAAATTATGGATACTTGTCAAAATATAAATAAAAAAGATTAGCTATTACAAGATTATAATTTAAGATATAATTTTCTATGTATTTATACAAGAAAAGTAACTTATACATTTAATAATAGTTTTTGTAAATCAATAATGATAAAAAAATATAAATATAATAAAATGGAATATAGTATACTATTATCCAAATATATTGAAAGATAAGACAATTTAAATAATAGAATAACAAATAGTTATTCTTTGATTCTTTGTTTTGTTAGAGTTCAATTATTTATAATAAATGATATTAATAATAATAATTGATAATACTACTAAACAAAAATGTGGAATCTACATTTATATTATATTAAATTTATATAAATTATTTTTATTGACTATACTCTGATACATTCCATTTTATCTAGAAATAATTCAATATATTGTAAATAATATGATTTGAATATTATTCAAAACAAAATACGAATGATCATTAATTTGTAATGAATATATGTATTTTTTGTAATGATATTGTTTTATATACATATGTAAGTACATATATGAAATACATATTGATACATATAGATAATATGAAAATTAAACTAAATATTGTAATAAAATTCATTCGGATAAATGAAGTTTTATAGTAATAATGACACTTGAATGATGTATAACATATTGTATACATTATCCATTTAAAATAATGTATAGCAGTTATTTTTTAATAATATTAGATAAACTTTTTATAACATATTATATTTTATAGAAATCTGTTTCTATTATGGGACTAAAATATAATTTTGTAATTAATGATATTTATCTAATAATGAATGAGAAAACTATTGTAATTATTTAATAACTCATTTTCTGTATTTATAACAATAATGTGCCAAAATTTATATTTATATTCAAATTATACAATTTCTATAACAAAATAATATCCATTATTAATTTTACATAGAATACAAAATTCTATATGAAAAAATATATAATATTCTATATTCTATAGTTGTTAATAAATATTTTTAGTTTTTTCTTAAAAAGAAATTGTAATTGTAAAAATATATTGACGATATATGTAATTGATATTTTGTTCCTTTCTGATTTATTTTATTACATAACAAAGAAATATGATTATGTATGTATGTTACTAATACTGTAAATTAATAAAATACTTGATATAATATATATAATCTTTATATAATCTTTATATAATCAAATGAATAGAAATAAAATAGAATGATTTGAATATATTTCATGATTTTGAATATATATTAAAGTATAAATATATTCATGAAACATATAATATAATTAAAAAATTAAAAATCCGTATTTTTACATAAATTATAAATAATCCATATGGATATTTATGTTTAAGTGCTTTGAAAGTGCTATTAAAAGTCGTTTATTTCTATTTTTCTTATGGAATTATTACTTATCAGGTTAAAGTTTATTTGGATGTTTCATGAACATATGTTAAATATATATTCATATAGAAATATTGAAAATTATACAGATCATATTCCTTTTTTTTTCTATTATATATTCATTATTTTTTTACAGTTGTATTACAAAATGAATTTAAAAATCAATCGCCTTCCAAAATTAATCGATTAACATTGATAAATTAATTAAAAATTCTTTTAACAAATTCTAGTTTTATTATTGATTATATAACAATTTTAAATTTCGCTTTTTATTTATATACGATTTAAACAATGAAGCATAGTAGACTAATAATTTGAATAAATTTGAGAGGTTAGGCAAATTTGATTATTTCAATAATAAATCCAATAAAAAAATATCTAATAAAAATTACAAAATAAAGTTGACTGAATACATTATATCATATATAAAATTACATGATACTACGTATCAATGAGTGAGCGAAACATGTGGCGGGAAAAAAATAATATTCCTTTTTTATTGATTAATAGAAATATTATTAATAGATACAAAATATTACACGATCTCATTTATATATTCTAATCAATGATGATAAGTGCTTATTTGTATGTTATTTGATTTTAAAAAAAATAAAATTCTTTTCGAATGAGTTTCATATTTTACATAATAAAAAAACATAACAAAAGCGATATTTATAATTTATAATGAAGTTTTCTGGCTCATTAATTGTTTATAACAATATTATGTTTATGTTATTACACAAAGATGTTAATGTTTAAAATTTTTTACTATTTGAATAAAGTTTTATATATTATATTTGTGTTTCAATTATATTACAATTGAATACAAGAGGAAAAAGTCTTACATTATTGAATTAACTTATCATATATTAAAAAAATTGATAAAAGAATAGATTTCAAGATTATTGTTAAGAATATTGTTTCTACAAATACTTATAATTCTAATCCTAAATTATATAACAATTTAAATATTTTATTATGTAAAAATAAATTGAAGTATATATTAAATATGGAAAAATTACAGAAGAAAGCTATTTTTATATTATTTTACTAATTTTCAATAATATTTATTATTTAATTAAATAAATAAATAAATATTAATAAAAAAATATAATAAAGAATAATTTTATTTTTAATATATTTTTTTACAACCATCTATAATGTGCATAAGCTCGATTTGCTTCACATAATTTATGTAATTCTTGTTCTTTTTAATAACTCGACCCTGAATATAAAGTAGTAGTAATTAAATGCAATTTTATATTTTAAAAATTTTGTTTATATAAAAAAAATAACTTATATCATTATATTATACATGCATAATAAGTTAAAAGCATATAAATATACTTGATTTTTTGCAGCATCAATAATTTCTTTTGCTAATACATTAGAAAATTTTTCACTATTTCCTTTTTCTTGTGCAGTTTTAATTAGCCAATTCATGGATATGAATTGAGCTCTATTCTCATTCATTGGTACTGGAACCTATATTTATAATATTAATATCAATTAATTTATTTATTAATTTTTAAGGATTATTTGTATAAAGAAAATTAAATTATATATGTACCTGATAATTAATCCCACCTCTTGTTATTTTCCTTAATTCTAAAATGGGTGTACAATTTTTTACAGCATGATGCAGAAGCATATTTGGATCCAATATAATATCTTCTCTATGTTCAGGTGAAGTATTATAATATTCATTTAATTTTATTATTTTAATATTTTCAAAAGTTTCCTCTAATAATTTTCTAGCTAATTGTTTTTTACCTTTTTTCATAATATAATTCATGAACTTTCTAACATATAAAATATACATAATTATTTAAAGAAAAAGAAAAAAAAAGAGAATATGATACAAGTTCTAATAAAAAATTTACCTAACTAGTATATCATGAAATTCAGAGCATGTCTCAAAATTAGAAGCTGGTTTTATAGGTGCGTGTATTAATTGTTCTGTTTTTGTGTTTTTATATATTAATTCTTGTTCATCTTTTTTATAAATTGGTTTTATATAATTTGGTGGGAATACACTATAAAATTGAACATCATTTCCTAAATTATATCTATAAAAGAAAATATTGTTTACATATAATATCATGTAATAATTGATAATAAAAATATTTATTAAAATATTTGATGTACATTTAACCATATTATATGCAATATAATTATGAAATTTATTTAATAAAATTTATTTTTGATAAAGATTATATGATTAACTTTAATACATAATGATATATTACAAATATACAATAACATGCATCATGATATTGATATGAAATTCGAATAATATTACCTTAAATTAGATAGTATTAATGAATAAAATGTTCTTCCAAGGACCATTTTCAATTTTTATATCTATTTTATATCTATTTTAATAATTTTATTTATATTTAATTATTTTGTCAAGTTCAACACTATGGCAATATTTAAAACAAGTTATATAAAATATTAAAGTTTATAATACAATAAATAATTTAATGTATGAAATAAAAAATTTTATTAAAATTAATATTATTGTTTTAATATTTTCAATTAAGAAAAAGATAATGAGAGGAAAATATCATGATTCGTAAATATTTAAATATATAAAATATATTTCAATATAAGAAAATAATTTTCTTGATAAAGTTGATACTAGCGCCTACAATGATGAGGCGTAGAACTATAATAGTTCAAGAATTCCTTCATAGAGTCTCTAGACTTCTAAAAACATGTATAGAAAACGAAAATAAGTGAGCAAGCAGAAACAATTTAACATAAGAATTTTTTTTAATACAAGAATTTTTTTAAATAAATTATTAGTTCTAGTATAAATAAATGTAAACTTACCATTATATTTCTTTTTCACTTATACTCACGTGTTGTATTGAATAGTATGTATATCATTGTTGTTTCGGTTTCGTCAAATAACTGAACGTGATAAGCTTATGACAAAGTGTATTTTTTTTAATAGAAACAGTGTTAAATTACAATTAAAATCAAGCATTTCGTAAAAAGAGAGATTTTTTTATATAGTGATTGCAAAGAAACGAAATTGCACAAATGGTGCACTCATTGCGGAATACATATGCTAGATTGTTAAAATCTTGCGGAAAGGTCTCCTAAAAGGAGTGCCTTTAATAAAAGATTTTTCTTCTGATAGTCATCTATCAAGAATATTAAAAAATGACGGAAAATCGGGGAAATTTTTCAACACCAACTAATCAAAGTAAGTTATAATATCATAAAATTAATAATAAATATATGAAAGATTTTATATACATAACCTAATAATTTCGTTATTGATAAAAAATAATAATTTTATTGGATATACATATAATATATGTTAAATTATTTATATAATGGTATTATTAATATTTAGGTTCTAGCAGACAATTTAATTTCCAACATTTGGATTTTGGATCTATTAATGATGTTCAAAATGAAATGTCAGGTATAGTATCTGTATCTATGCATCACAATAATGAGATGTAATAACATTTATATTATTTTATAATAGAAAAAAGAAGACAATTTAAACTTAATTTTCAAACACAAGGAAGTAATATACCACTTAATAATTCAACGAATAGTTCTCTTTCTAATTCAACTGGAACTGCAGCCTGTGTACCAATGTAAGTTATATAATAAGTAAAATAATAATATTTAAATCATAAATTTTCGAATAGTATCTTTTGATATATTTATAATTTTATTTAATAATTATAGATCTTCTCGTCCAAATTTGCCTTTATCTTTGCCTAAACTACCAGTAAGATCTTGTACTGCAGTTCCACAAGAATTACCTGATAAAGCAAGGTATATTTTTGAAATAATCAAATAATTGTTTAATGATATTTTGATATAATTTAATGGATTATTATAGGGATAAATTACGAATGTGTCAATCAATGCAAAGTACTGGAAAATTACAGCTATCACCAAATGTAGTATATGATTTTACAAGTGAAGATCTTCAAGATCTAGGAGAAATAGGACGAGGAGGATTTGGCACTGTAAATAAAATGATTCATAGGATAAGTGATACTGTTATGGCTGTGAAGGTATATAATTTTATTATTTTTTTTTATCAAAGCAATCAATCAAATTTATAATGTTATATTTAATTACAGAGAATTCGTTCTACAGTGGATGAAAGGGAGCAAAAACAATTATTAATGGATTTAGAAGTTGTAATGAAATCTAATGAATGTCCATGCATTGTACAATTTTATGGAGCTTTGTTCAAAGAAGTACATCTATGATAAATATTTAATAATAATTATTAAATTCTACATAGTGGTTAATATATAAATAAACTATATAATAAAGTTTATTTAATAATTAAAATCTATAATAAATTATTTAATATTAATATTAATTAATAATAATAATTATTATATCTCTATTTAGGGTGACTGTTGGATTTGCATGGAACTCATGGATACTTCATTAGATATATTTTATAAGTTTATTCATGAGGTATTAAAAGAAAGAATACCAGAACGTATTTTAGGAAAAATTACTGTTGCCACAGTAAAGGCGTTGAATTACCTCAAGGAAAAATTAAGAATAATTCATAGAGATGTAAAACCTAGTAATATTCTATTAGATCGACATGGTAATATAAAACTTTGTGATTTTGGTATATCAGGACAATTGGTAGATTCAATTGCACGAACTCGAGATGCTGGATGTAGACCATATATGGCTGTATGTACAATAATAAAGCATAATTAATATTTAATAAGATTTATCATATACAATCAGAAGTATTTAAATTTATTATAATTTTTCAGCCAGAAAGGATAGATCCACAACGTGCAAAGGGTTATGATGTTAGAAGTGATGTATGGTCATTAGGAATTACATTAATGGAAATTGCAACTGGTTATTTTCCATATCCAAAGTGGAATTCAGTTTTCGAGCAACTTTATCAAGTAGTTCAAGGTGATCCACCACGTTTATCTCCTAATGAAAATGGGAATCATTTTACAATGGATTTTGTGAATTTTGTGAATACATGGTAAATTATTTGATAATTTTAGTCATGATAAATTTTAATAAAAAAATAATTACTTATTATTATTTTCTGATTTAGTTTAATCAAGGAAGAGACACAACGGCCGAAATACAATAAATTATTAGAACATCCTTTTATCAGAAAAGCAGAAGAAGACACTGTTGATGTTTCAGCTTATATAAGTGGTGTTCTCGATAACATGGTTCTCAGGGGATTGACGCCTTTTACTACTAATCGGCATTAAGTAAAAAATATAAAATAATACATATTTGTACCTTAATTTCCATAATTTTTCAAATCCTAAATTTGATTATTGTAAATGAATAGGTTATTTGCACTTCGATTTAGTATAGGTAGTAAAATTAATTAACCGTCGATCATTGTCGATAATAAATCATTTTGTGTAGAATCATATTATCGTGTCATAAAATTCTTATATACATAGTGATTAGAAGTGTTCAAATAACAAGTTGACATTATTGAATAGTATATAGAAGAGAAGTTCTAAATCAGCTTTTTCATTGGAATTATAATATGGTTTCAATGAAACACGTTTAAAAAATTATGAAAAAAATATTTGTTTCATATCTTTATCTTTACAATTGTTTCAACGACGATAACAATTTGTAATAATGACACAGTAAAATTTTGTCAATAATTAGAAACTTGTATAATATGTAATAATATTGAAAGCAACAAGTTAAAATAATCGCTACGTTTTAAGCTTTTGTAACTTCGTGATATAATAATTATTGATTTAATCAATTCAAAATAAGAGCAAAGAAAATAAAAGAATATAATTATTCTTGTTGGAATAAGTGAAAAGGATATATGTTAAAAGTTTAGTATATTTCTTTGATGTAATAATTATTCACAAGTAAAATAAGAAAATTTACTTTTCATAATGTTGTAATATGAATTTGATTTTTCTTATTCTTTTTTTTGTTATATACCTTTTTATTAAATATTAAAAACTATAAAAAGCAACTAGCTATTATAAATATAGCTATATAAATTTTCTTTAATTTAATGTTATGAAAGAAATATTATATAAACATTGATTGCATAACTTTTCTGTTCTTCTATAATATTGAGAGAAAAAAGATTTTTAAAATAATAACAAAATAATAACAGAATAACAAAATTAAAAAAAATTTAATAGAAATTATTTTGATTTTACAAAATAGTTCCTCTGTTGAATTAAATATGTATGCATGAATAAATAAAAATTAATTATAATAAATAGTGTATAAAATATATAGCAAATACATAATAATATATAGCAAATACATGTAAGTTATACATATATGTATATATCATGCATGCATATAAAATAATTAATATTTCAAAATTTTGTTTTTACAAATTTTATAACAAAAAACGCTTTATAAAAATATATTATTTTAGAAAATTTCAAATTTTGCAATAGAATAGGAAAATATAGTAATTTTATAAATAAAAATGTCATTTTTTTCACATATTTGAATAAAACGATAGGAATGGATATAGAATCTGATATAGATATAGATATAACATTTAATAAGATTTTCCATATTTTGAAATATTTAAAAAAAAAAAAAAAAAATAACTTTAGAAAATATTGAAAACATTTTTTGGCATAAATTTTGCAAAGAATAGACAAAGAGAAGAAATAGTGAGAGAAGGATAGATACAGGATAAAAATTCGGGAATCAGCGTCATTTCCAATATATCACAAATGAAACATTAATATATAAAGAGAACAAATACTGGAAAAAAGATAGAGATAGGATAGTGCTGTTATCGTTATCTTTTGATATTTTAATATTTCAGAGATATTTCTTCAAAAATGATAAAATAAAATAGAATAACAATTTAGGATTAGTGCCATCTTTGAAAGATTTTTAGAAACATGATTTATAAAAAAAGAATGTCTTTGGTTTAATTTAAGAGATGGCGATAATAATCAATTCTTATTCTATCTTTATCTTTTTCATACTATTATTTAACCTTATATATTGAGTTTCATTTGCGGCATTCTAAAGATGGCGCTGGTTTTTGAATTTTTATTCTATCTCTGTCTTTTTTTCCATTATTTCCTTTTTTATCTATAGTATTTATGTGTATGATAATAGACGAGATATGGGATATCAATTGAACACTTTTATCATTAAAATTGTAATTTAATATATTAATCTTTAATATAAAACTTTTATTTCAGTTACCTATATTTTCACAACAATTTATATACAAATATAATTATATATTTGTAAAATGCCATATTTGCAATATATACCCTTACAATATTCTATAATGAAATATTTATTTTATTTTTTACTTTCGTACTGGAACTTTACTTTATACCGAAATTTCGTTTCAATCTAATTATTATTAACGTTGTAATGTTATTTTGAATTAAATCGATATCGTTGAAAATATCAATGAATAAAAAACAAAAATATATAAATTTTTCTTTAAATTTAAAATTTATCAATAAATGTATAATTAATTAATAATCAATTAATTTCAATTAATATTAATTTATGTTTACGTTATTTTATGTATATAAATTTTTGAATTTGTGATCAAATTAAATCAATAATCGAAACTTTCTTTTCTAAGGAATTGATATAGAATAATTATTTAGATAAATATTAAATTAATCATAATTTATGAGTGATCGTAATTGCATTTGGAAAGAAAAAAAAATATATTTGATGCGAGAAAATAAACAAAAAAAAAAATATAAAGATGTAAAATAATATTATATAAATATAATTATATTTCATTTTGCTTCATAATATTTCAAATTAGAAACTGATTATCTAAATATATAAATTTTTCAATTTTATAAGAAGTCGCATATAATACATATAACCGCAAATGTGTGATAAAAATAAAAATAATGATAATGATATATATAATGATTCTTTGATGGCGCTTTTTATCTTTACACGTAAAACTATATGTTTCAATAAAGATTCCTTATTTAAAAATTGTTAAAAATTACAAAAAATAATTGATACTTGATATATAATTAAAAGCTAAATTTATATTATTGATAACCATTATTCTTGTTCTTTGCGATTGTCACTGTGGTAGTTGAAATCAATTCTCTTGAATATTTTATAAAAGCACCATCATTCTCCTGAAATCTATACCTACTCACATTCGCGTCTATATTTGAAACTTGGCAAAGTAATATCTATTCTTTTAAATTAACCATTGAAATATATCCACATCATCTCTTATGTGGTGACCTATAAACATTTCCTAAGGGAATATGTTAAAATCTATCGATCTTAGATCGATCTATACTTTTCAACGAAACATTGTTTTTCATTTAAATTATTTCAAGGTAGTATATTTAATGTATATAGTTTTTGAAAATTTTCCCCTTTTTATTTCGTCTAATTTATTTCAATAAATTTAAATTTATAAAGCAATAAAAAAAATTTCAATAATCTTTATTTGAAAAGAAACGTTAGACTTATCTTAATAATTATTTAGCGCAAATTTTATATTTTCATATATATTTTTCTAATTAAATAAATTTAAGAAATATTATTTATATAAAATTCTATATACAGTGTCATGGAAATATTTTGAACATTTTTTAAAACATTTTACTAAATTAATTTCTCTTTTTGTAACATGTAACGTGCCATGTTTACGTATATATTTATTAAAAAAAATTTGTTTAAAAAAATGATTATTCATTGAAATATATTTTTTATCAAACAATTTTTTTCATTCCGATAGAAATAATATAAATATTTTGAATATATTACATATTGATCACAGTCTTATATCACAGAAAAAATTAATTTAAATTTTATACATATAAAATTTCCATTTTATGTTTTATATGTTAATATTAATTGTTTCTGCTTATTATTTTTGATACATATATAATTTTGATATTATAAACATATTCTACGATAATATAATAAATGAAAATAAAAAGGAAATTAACGATAATGGAAAAGTATCGAAAATAGAAAATAGTAAAATATACGGATAATTGTAAAAAGGAAAATTTTTTAGCAACAATTGGTAATGACAATAGATAGCGGTAAAACGGAAAGTGACGGTGAGTCACAACCTGACACACAGCACAGGGAGGGTAGCAGGTGCTACTACCGTTGTTGGTGCTGGTACTGTTGGTGCTGCTGGTGTTACCATTATTGCAGGGGTGACCAGCTGGATAGGCCAGCAGGGGAACGGATGTTCCCAGGAGATTATTGATCGTGTATGTAGATATTTCCACTTCAACTACGTAGACGACGGTATGGAATTTTGCTCGGACAATCTAAATCGAACTTTTTCTTCATTTTCCACCCTTTATTTTCGTTCATCTAAAATGGATAAAATTCAATCTATATCCTCGCTCAAAAAATCTTAGAAATAGTTTCGAAAAAATAAGAATCGAGATGGATTTTTCTTTTTTGGCAACGAATGCACGCACACGCGCGATATTGTCATAGCATGGAGCTGTTAAATATAAAGCTGTATCTAATTTTCAAAATGGGATGTAGATTCTCGTTTCGAATTCTAACTTCTCGATAATATCGGAAAAATTATAATTATGTATTATCCTTGTAAAAATTATTTTGAAATGTATTACCGATCTTGAGAAAGACAATTAAACTTAAGAAATATTCTTTTCAGGTTTTAATCATTTTGTGGTCAAAACCTGCTCGTACGACGATCATTGCATTTATTTATTTTCCAATTTAATAATTTGAAATGATGAAAACAGTACCGATAACAGTAACAAATTTGTGAATAACGTATACAATATTTCAAATCCATTCATCGCATGAATATTCAAATTTTTTCAAAGAAAGAAAAAAAAAAATTGAAAAACATTATGAAAGTGATTACCAAATACGCGATATCTTTCTTAATGAATTAACTTATATTAAATTTTTTTCTCGATATCGCGATTAGAGGGTTGGTCAACCATTGGATAACGCCCACACGATGATCCTACCGTGTGGGGTAAAATGGTTTCAAGATCTCGTGCAAATTTACGATGAAATTTTCGTTCTAACGATCCTAACAGACATCGACCAATAATAAGCAAGCTTCAGAAATTTTACACGCCATTCTGAACGTCGTCGAATAGCCGTGGTTCTTTCCCCTCTCTTTTACGCTGGGATATCGCGAGTGACGGTCACTGCCTTTCTGATTCGATCAATGAAAGTACCTGTACCAGAATGTTCAGGCTATGCGACCACCCCTATTGACAATAAACCGTATAAACACCTGATTTTTATTCCTTTTTTCCGATACAAACCTCGAAATATTAATATTTTTCTTTTAACGAATCATGGTCATCCTCTTGAATGCGATTTCCCAGAAATAAATATATCGCGTGTAGGTGTCTTGAAATCGTTCGAAATTAATTTTATCCTGTTTTTTCCGACTCGAATCTCTCGAAATTTAGACAAAATAATGATTTCTTCCAATAAATATTTTACGAAAATAACGCGATGATATGAATTAATTACAAATTTTGACTTTTCTTCTTTAGGTTATTCGCTTCTAATGGTAGAAAGAAGAAAAAAAAGAAAAAAATAGTTATTCTACTCTAAATTCTCATGTTTCAATTTAACTTTGAACAATTTTTAAACGATCCTTTACTCGCTTGATTAATAAATCTTACATTTTCGATGAAATACTCATTGAAGCATTGAAAAATTTACTAACATGATATATACTTGTACATATTTCGTAATATTACCTCTTTCGACTTTTTTTTTCATGCGTAAAAATTGTTTCAAAATTTATCCAAAATTGGATCCACTTCTATATTGTATCTACAATATAGAATATTTCACAAAAATATTCATCATCTTAATTAATCAACGATATTCGTTTAATTCCGAAAATTCTGATTTTACTTTTGCTCTCTCACACTCACATGTTTGTTAGAGCAAAATTCTTCTTTTCCTAAAAGGAGGTAAAAATCTATCTTTAAAATTGTAAACAACAAATTTTTATCAACTAAGTGTATAAAAACGCGTTGAATAAAAATCGATTGAATTTAAAGAAACGTGTTAAAATTTGGAGAGAGAGAGAGAGAAAAGAAAAAGGAAGCATATATTATATATTATATATTACGAAGAATGACTTTCTATCTATGTGTATCTTCTCTGTGTACATGCATATATATATATAAAAAATTGAACGTGTCAGTCGAAAAAGCAAAATTGGAAGGTAAGTATCGTGGGCGAATTTCCGTTCTGTTCACCGTTCGAGAAACGGAAAAGAAGAGAAGGAAAAAAAGGAGAAAAAAAAAAAAGAAAAAAAAGGTTTGCACGCAGGTTCGTGTACATACGGTCCACCTGCAAGAGGGAGTCCAACACCTGTCACGCACACAAACCACGGCCAATGGTTTACGGCAACCAGGTAGATTCAAAGTGGGGGGATTATCAGAGCTTTCGTTACCCCTTGGTACTAGTTTCATTCGAACGATCATGCGGTTTACATGTTTTTTATTATACACCGATGAAAATGTGCATACGTGATGTAACGAATCGTAATCGCATTTTCAAGCTTTTCTATTAACCGGCGTAAATGTTTTACCGAAAGTGAACCATCTTTGGATGTGCCGATATTAAAAAAAAAAAATGTTTTGAGGTGTGTTGTGCTTGGTTCAATTTTTCAACCAACGTTTTTTTCCCCCCTTTTCTCTCGCCTCTCAATCTTGTTCAAATTTTCATTATCGATTTACCGTAATTGTTCTCAGTCGCGATATTAGGAGACGGTAGAATTTCAATGCACCAATTGCCTCTGTCGATAGAATTCGTTAAAAAAAAAAAAAAGAGAAAAGTTCCGTTTCGTTCTATTCTAAAGAAAAAAATGTCAATATATTTATGATTGTTGTTCGAACGATATTATAAAAAAAAGAAAATGATTAATTCTTAATTAATCCAAAAGTTACTTGAAACGCAATATTCTATTATTAATTGTATAATTGTTACAATAATTAGACGAATATTCCATTACGAATATATCTGTTATTAGATTCGTTATTGGATTAATGAAATTTTTACATAAATACTTATTTGATATACTTTTAATATTTACAATTGTAATATATTATTAATTGAATTCTTAATTACAAAATAACATATATATATTTATATATCGTTGAAAAATTTGGATTTTTGAGTGTTTCTACGTATATATATGCATAATACTTTTTACAACAACTTTTAAAAACATAACAATAAAACTTTAAATATTAAATCGTTCAAAACTGCAATTAATTTCTGGAAAATCTATATAACAATAGATAATCTATTTCTATTTATTATCACATAGGAATGCATTTCATTTTGAACAAACGTTCGAACACTTTTTCTATACGTAATTTTCTATAATAAGATAATTCAGGTAATAATTTGTTGAAGGTGGCGATATTAATATTCGAATTTTCGTTATTTTTATCTAGATACGTAGCATCGTTCGTTCGATACTTATGCGATGAAAAATGGTGAAAATGAAGGGGGAATCGATCGATGTTGAGAAACGAACGAATCGTGACTCACCGAGTATGAAGGAAAATATGCATAACGACGATTGCGATGTCGAGGCGGAATTGACCAGTCTTTCGTGGTTACAATCGCTCGACATTACGAGTGCTTCTAGTTTGCCAACGCCGCCTTGTTCTCCATCTCCACCACCGGTGACGCGACAACCGAGGAAAAAGCTCTCGCCCTTGATTAAGGCCGAATTAGGTAAACCATTTCGTTCCAATCGTTTTTTTAATTTTTGCACTTTCTCGATTTCCCCATCGTTGAAAAAACGCACATAAAATTCCGTTTCTCTCGAATTCAAATTCGATAATTATAAGCACGTTTATTCCTATGTCAATTGTTATATCAATCATATTTTTTAAACTTCAAATCTATTCATTTATATCTATAATTTAACATTCTTTCGATTATTATTCGGCAATTTGTCTTTTTCGTTTTTTCGTTATTGAAAATATATATATATAAATAAAATCGATCTTTTTATTCGTTTACATATATATATATATATATATATCCTTAAATCGTACATGTGTAAAAATATCCTGTGTATAAACGAACGTTTTCGTTGATTTCTTTTTTTTGTTTAGATCTAGCTTCGAATGCCGAGAAATATCGAACTGATCCTGACGCAAAACCGCCATTTTCATACGCCACCATCATTTGCCTGGCGATGCGTGCGAATAACAACAAGGTGTCTCTCTCGAATATATACGCATGGATTCGAGAAAATTTCTTATTTTACAAATATGCCGATCCCGCTTGGCAGGTGTGTAAAAAAATTTTCCATCACCTATTATTATTTGTACAACGCGCCACCACAATATTTTTAAAATATCTTACGAACGAAATCTTCGAATTTCGTTTCTTCTTCTTCTTCTTTTTTACGGTACATAAATATTAATCGAACCCTTTTATTTTCGAACAGAATTCAATTCGACACAATCTGTCGTTGAACAAATGTTTCGTCAAGTTACCGCGTTCGAAAGACGAACCAGGCAAGGGTGGTTTCTGGAAATTAGATTTGGAGAGAATGGAGGAGGGTAGGAAATCGAAACGGCGGGCAACCATGTCCCAACGGATCCGCGGAAATTCGAAGAAATTAACGTGTGGAAAAGCAACGGTAACGAACGATGCACAAAGCAATGGTGCTCCATCGATCAATTGTACCTTGTACGAGACTCCGCCCAGTAGCGTATCTCCTCCAATTCCGGATTGTCTGCCGGAAATTCCCGACTCCACGCAAGTCAGTTTAAGCGAGGATGATCTAACCGGTTTGTTAATCGCCACCGCGGGTTGGGACGAGAATCAATTGGATCTCTTGGATTCCCTTCTCGACACCCTGTAAGAAGTTTTTACCGCCCGAGTCTCTCCTATTCATGCAAATTCAAACGCGTTTACTTACGTTCGACTTCCTCAACTTCTCATTCAACCCGGAACGAATTACACGCAGCTCGGCCGATAAGTAAGATTATTTCTTCCTCCCTCAATTGCTCTCTAAAAATAAAAATGTATCTTAAACAAGTTTTTAAACAAAGTTGCAACATTCGTTGCCGATTCAACGTTGGAATAATATTTGGACGCAAAATTATTTAAAAATGCGAACGTGTAAGTCTTTTCTCCTAGCGATAGACAACATTTTTTTTCTATTCGTTTATATTAAAAGAAGAGTGGAAAGGGGGATGATTTATTTATTGACCGAGTCGCGTAGATTTCCAAAGCTTTTCCTCCTCGACGTGACAAAAAACTCTGAGGAGTCAATTCTCTCTACGAGAATCTGTGTATTCAATGATTTACAATATTTATAATCCAACAAAATCAATTTCTAACACTTCGTCTGGAGAAGTTTAAAGTTTAAAGTTTCAGCGAATATCGTCGCGAAACGTGTCGATGGCCGACCGAAATAAAACCTCGCTACTGTGCATAGCATAACGCTGGGAAAATGATACAACGAACACAGAGACACACGATGGGATAATCGGTTTTTTTAATCGAACAACGCTGCGCGATCTTTCGGCCAATGTGTTTATTTTTCCGTGTTTATTTTTTAATCGATCGTTGGATGTGTAGAGAATAATCGATTAGAATTTCAAGTTTCCTTGCCTTTCTAATAATCTCTCTAGCTCTGTTTCTGTAAAATGAGTTTGGGTTTTTTTTTTTTTTTTTTGAATTTCGTTTTCATCTTTATTAACGATCGTCAAATTTACCTCGATTCATCCTTATTTGTCGTAAAAAACTTCTATCTATTTATTAGATATACCTTAGAAGTTACTTCAGAAGTTATAGGAAAAATAAATCGTGTACAGGAATCGAAATATTTATATATTTAAATCATTAAATACACAAGATAGCGCCCTTTTTCTGGATAAATAATCAAAACTTTACTTGTAAAAGTTTCGATTTAATTTTGATACGTTACGTTAAACGTTACGTCAATCAATTAAAACAATGGTAAATATTTCGATTTTTTTAAAAATCGTAGTACACGAAAAAATGAAGAAATCTATCGTTTTCTCCAATTCATTTAAATTAACTATTTGCACGTTTGATCGATGATAAATTTCTGGGAGAGCAGAAAAATTGGAAAGAAGATATTAATCGAGATAATGTATATAAAATGTTTCAATTATTTTAAATTAATTTAAAAAAAACTGATATTTACTTATTCAGCAATAATTATTACTGTTGAAATATTTGTTAAATACGGAGACACGATTTTTGCTTATTATACTTGACTGAACATATTATATATGTATACATATATATATATATATATATATAGAGACAAAAATTTTAATAAATCGATAAGTTAATAATAATACTGTGTACTGAAAAGTAATAATTATAATATTTGTGACACAGTAATTTGCAGTGTGCCTTCGAATAAAAAAAAAAAAAAAAAAAATAAATATTTATGATATATATCGTACATTTGCCAACTCGATTAATTCGTGCAGAGTATATTTCGTATTCCTGCTTTAAAAATAATAAAATACAAAGTGCCTTATAAGTATTATCAGCAAAAAAGTTATTATTATTACTTTAATTCTTGATATTATTTCCGGAAAATTGTCATACGTTGCAGACAATAATAAAAATACAACGTTACTCTCCGACAATTTACAATTTATTTACCAATGTTTTGTGGATCGATAAAAAATAAGTAATGTTATAAACGCGTATGTGAAATAATCAAACGAAAGACAAATAATCGTTAAACCGATGAAACGGTGAGAAATTATGTAACGACGAATAATAGATTTCAATAAATTGTGAAAAGGAAAAGGAAAAAAAAAAAAAAAAAAAGAATGTCGGAAAATTGTTTGCAATTTGTAATACTTTTCTGTGAGATCGTAATTGTGCAAGATTATATATATTTACATATGTATGTGTGTCGTCATAGAAGCCTAATATGTGAATTAATCGTTGACGAATTGAATTTTTTTTTTTTATATTTATAAATAAAAAATACGAATGAATTTTTTCAGCTTAAGTAAAAACGATTAATTGATATATTTGTTACGTAGCATAGATTAGAAGTTAATTTCCGTCCAGATATCGTTTGCAATATATTTTATAAAATAATTGTACAATATGTCTCGTATCTTTATTATCGACGTTTCTTTTCTCGACGTGACTTAATTTGTTAGAAAGAAAGGATATTATCGATAAGTAAGTATATTATAGTATAGTGTTTATAAAAAGATGATTGCACGTGATTTTAATAATTATGCACCGAAACGATCGTAACTATTAAGAATCACTTTGTATGGATTGTAAGTGAAATGTAGGAATACACCAAAGAATAGTAAATACTTTGCATATGGATGTTTTATTAAATATAACGAGTTATCGACAAAGACGCGAAACTTCCATTGTATAACTTACATATACGTATATAAGTATACGTATATATACGTATATCGTGAATTCTAATATATTTTAATAATATTATTTGTAAATAATTTTTTTTTCCTGTTTTCTAGTCTCTATATAATCGAAATAGAGATACTTTTCTCAAGGTACGTGTAATTTATCTTTATAACGGCACCTCGTTTTCCACGCGAGCTCGAAATAAATTCAAATATATACAAATATATTTGCAATTTGATATTTAACAGTTTGAGTTTTATAAAATGAATTTAATCGATAATTGTGTTATGTACACTTAAGTATATATTGCATCAAATAAAAATATTCCCGTAATACTTGTTTCCATACACGATATTAATGTTTTCCATTTACGAGATTAATGTAATGTATTTTCGAAGGGAAAAAAATAACAATAAGAACGATATGAATAATAATTTTTGTATCGAGTACACAATCGTTACCTGCTGTATCGACAGCATCCTGATATTTCGTTCTATATTCGTTTTTGCATAGAGAGGGAGAACAAAGGTAAAATTGTGGATTTACGATTATAATTGCGCGATGGAAGGGATAGATATTTACGAAATCATCAAGTTATCAAAAAATGGGGAAGAAAGTTTTATTAGGTATAAAATATTTACACATTTGTTAGACCGAACAACTTGGAATTCCTATGTTCTCTATAAGAAATAAAGAAGAAACTTTACTCATCCTCGATTACCGACAGACTAATTTCTAATCGATTTATCAATTAACAAATATATAAGAGGGAAAAATTAAACTGGTCCTAATCCTCTGGTCGTTTATCTCAACATCACACTCTCCTTTAAGAGTAACGGAAAGTTTTTTTTTCATAGAAGAAATTTTATCGAGTAAAAACGATCGAAACGAAAAACGAATGTTATCAACGCGTTTGTTGCGCGTGTTTGCTGGATTTCGAAAAAAAGATTGTGATGTTGGATCATCTACGCGTCCCGTAGTTCAAAATATATCACGCACAATTAAGTTGAAAAATAATTTCTAAATCGCGACACGTTCCTTACACAACTTTTCCGCTTTGTAAAACTTACGATAATATCGTGAAAAAAGATTTTATCGAACGTATCGAAACGATCGTTATTCGTTTATTAAACATCCGTGTTATCTGAAATCACGCAGGCCGCAACTTATTTTACACTTTTTCTTCCTTTTCCTTTTTTCCCTTTTTTTTTTTTTCTCACATTTTTAATAGCAGCAAAAAACAGTTTTTTTTTCTCTAGTTTCTCCCGTTAGTGGAATAAGTGGAGCGCTCGCAAATTTCAAATCAGTCTTATTGAACAAATTTCAATGTAACCGATGATCAATATCCTTGAACAATTCGTGGAGTTAACAATAATATCACGCTCTTATCATTAATACGATTAAGACGATTCATTGTTCCTTCGTATTTATTCTCTACTTTGTTTCACAATTAATATTCGACAATTAACGATTGATCAGTCCACTCGACATTGATTTCATTAACTACTTTACACGCTTATCCTAGGTAGGTATTAAATATCATATATACACGAGTATTGTATGTACGTATGTATGTGTCTGTTCGTATATGTGTACGTGTACGCGCGCGCGCGCGCGTGTGTGTGCGAACGTATGGACGCGTGTGCGTGTGGTAGATCATTTTCACGATGGTAGTAGGACAATTCGTGGTTAAAGAAATAACCATAAATTTCGTGACTAGACGCGCGGATCAACACGATCAAACGTAATATTCGTTGATGTTCAGCGCGTCGGAATCGCATCCCTATACGCAACTCTCTTGGGTCGATATCAATGGTGTACGAACGGTGACAACTTCTCTGGTCGGATGTTTGCCGCTCATGGTCGAAACGTTACAGTCTTGGAACGTGCTTCTCGTCGACAGGGGCGCCAATGTGAACGGCAGAGGAGGCGGCGAGGGATCGCCTTTTAACGACCTCGTATTATTGTGATCTATACAAGCGTAAATCGTCGTTTCTCTGGTGCACGGTTTCCCGTAACCCTCCAGGGTGCTTAAACTGCCGATCCCGCTTATGCCACCCGTCAACTTGGTGTCGGTCGCCAAAGTCGACAATGCCGTAGGCCGTGACAGGCACAATTCGGCGTACGTTACCTCGTTCGATAACTGAAAGAGAGAGGGA